AAAAAAAAAAAAAGATTCTTTCTTTCTCTCTCTCTCTTTCTTCCTCTGCCCTTCTCTCCTACTCTCTCTCTCTCTCTCTAAAATTAAAAAAGAAATAAGGTAAGAATTTGTGGGGAGCAGGTAGATTTTTCTTTTTTTTTTAAAAGAAGGTAGATTTTTTGATAAACAGTCTCTTTCATATCATTTTGAAGTGCTGTCATTTATATTACTTAATTTGAAAGGTCTCTGTGAAGTATCTGGGTAGGAAAAGTGATTTTTATACCCCTTCGTATATGGGGTGATTAAGGTCAGTGAAGATACGTCACTTGTCCAAGGTCACACAGCTGATCATTTGCAGACTCAAATGTACATCTTTTCCATATTTTCTCTTTGGTTCTGGTGTCTTTTCCATTTCACCATGTTGGAAAATGCCCTGAAAAGGCAGACACGGAGGTGTGTGCACATGTATGCATGTGCATGTGTGTGTGCATGTGTGTGTATGTTGAGGATGGATGGGGAAGAGGAGGATCAATAGGTCTAGAGAAGAAAAAAGATTTTAACTAAAATTCAGGCTGCCAGGCACTGTATGAGGGCATACAGATTGAAAACCCCCTCCTAAGAAAGGCCGGCAACCCTAGGTGGAGTGAAGGACCAGAGTTTTTACAAAGGCTGGGAGGGCACTGGGTGGGACCGCAGGCAAATAAATGTAAGAGCATAAACTGCTTTGTCAGTCAAGGACAAAGCAGCTGGGAATTGGCATCCAGAGGCTAATGGGATTGATCAAGAAATTGCTCTTTTGGAGGAGGTAGAATCTCCAAATGCAAGGGAGCTTGGTCTTTGGCCTGTGTAACTGCAGGGGCTGCTGGGAAATGTAGTCTCTAGCGAGGTGACTAGTGACCAGCTTCCAGCTCTGTGATTATGGAGGAAGGCAAGAAGGAATTTTGGTGAGGAGCTGGCGGTCTCCATCACAACGCCCAGACTAGATTTCCCAGGAGGCTTAGCCATCCCGAATGACGCTCCGGTGGCCCATAGCACGTCCTCAGAGAAGAATCTTCCTCCAGTCGCTTCGTTTGGGGAACCAGCAATGCTTAATGGGAGTATCAGTTACTGTCCGGTTCAGGTACATGTGACAGAAGACCTATCATAGCAGTGACCTAAGGAAAGTAAATACTTGCTTTTTCCCATCTCGTGTAAGAGATGTTTATCGTATTAGTGATGTGGTAATGGTGTCAGGGACTCTTGTGATCCTCCTGTTCTGCCATCGCAGCATTTGGTTTCTTCCTCATTGTCCAACCATCTCTTCACGTTCCCCCCTGACAACAGGGATTTCCCAGAAGTCACAGCACTTCCACTGACACCCCTTTGGTCAGAACCTAATCACACGGGGCACCTAGCTGCAAGGGAAGCTGAGGAATGTAACCTTTCTGGGCATTTATGAGCCTGGCTCCAAACTCAGGTTTCTTGTGCTGAGGAAGAAGGGGAGATCAGACATCGGGGAGCAGTAAGCAGTCTTCTGCTAGGGATCACGTGGCCCCATGTCCCCGCCGGTCGCCTTTACTTCCGCTCGAGTGTGTGTGTGCGTGTGCGGGCGCGTGCATGTGTGTTTCTCTGCCTGTGTCCGATTCTAAAACCCATCTTCATAGTCATCTGAAGGGAAGCAATCGCCATAATAGCTGACGGGGATGGAGTGGGTACCAAGCGCCAAACATGATCGAAACCACTTACTATTCACCACAGCACTCTCAAAGTGCCTCACCTAGGAGACTTTGGTGCAGGACTGTTTATAGAGCTATGGTCAGGGTCGAGGAAACCAAAAGGTCTTGCTGGAGCGCTCAGAGTTTAGCAACAGCAGGCAGTCATAACCGCCTCTGAAAGGGCGAGGGGGCAGAGCGGTCTCACCAAACCAGCCTGGCCAGAGCTTAGGGACATGGAAGAGGGACTGCCTGCCAGGAGGTTTAACTAGAATGAAGCCAGGGCAGGAGTAGCCCCGGTAGGCTGATAAATACCCTGACCTGTCTCTCCTCCCAACCTTAACTCTCCTGATGGTGCCCCACTTTGGCTGAGGCCAAGTGGAAGGCAGAGAGCAAGGGCCTCCAGGGAAAACAGTCCACAGAAAGCAGCCTCCTGGGGTGGGGGTGGGGTGCCTGGGTTGCTCAGTCGGTCGAGCATCTGATTCTCGATTTTGGCTCAGGTCGTGATCCCAGGGCTGTGGGATTGAGCCCCAGGTTGAGCTCCGCACTGAGTGTGGAGCCTGCTTGGGATTCATTCTTTCTCTCTCTCTCTCTCTCTCTCTCTCTCTCCCTCCCTCCCTATTCCCCTCCCCCCGCTCATGCCCTCTCTCTTTGAAATTAAAAAAAAAAAAAAAAAGCAGCCCCCTGGGGAACAGAGCAGGGCAAAGAAAGGCAGAAAATGGACTGCGGGAAGCAACCCATACAGCATTATTATGACTCCCTTTTATAGGTAAGGAAATTGAGGCATGGAGAAGGTAAGTCACTTGCCCACCTGCTAAGCAACAGAGGGAGCACCCCCCCTAGCTTCAGATGCGTGTCCTGAAGGAGAAGGCAGAACGCAGGCCCGCGTGCCTTTCCCATCTGTCTGCGCGGCTCTCTGCGCACAGTAGGCATCTGATAAACGGTCAGTGGATGAAATCATTGAGCGAGGCCTATTTTGGTGTGGTAGTAACTGTTTCCTCCTCACCGATGCAGATTGCTGTCCCAAACCTCAGCGAGGCTGTGCAGGATGCAGACCTGCTGGTGTTTGTCATTCCCCACCAGTTCATTCACAGAATCTGTGACGAGATCACCGGGAGAGTGCCCAAGAAAGCCCTGGGAATCACCCTCATCAAGGTAACGTGCCTCTGACCCCAGGCAGGGAGGCGGGGCCGGGAAGCGGGCCGGATGTCGGTTACAGGGGAATTTCACATCCTCTCACGTCCATCTGTTGGAAATAGGATCTGAAAGGGAGGTTATGGCAGTTTTTTGTTTTCTTGTGTTTTTGTTTTAAAGATGCCTGGAAGGGAATCAATAACACATCCCAGGAGGCTAGCTGAGCTCAGCGTTGGGGGTGGGGTGGGGGGGCGCTCTCGATCACAGCGGGTTTTAGCGGTGGCAGTGATGTGAGGGTGGGCTCCTCCTGATGAACCTTCCTGTCCAGGATGTGGGTCTCTGCTGTGTTCTAGAAATCACTGGTGGTTTGTGTTGCTGGGAAATTAATCCTCATTTGTTTCCACTCCTGGATATATTCCCCAAAGAGGGAGTTTTTAACTAGAAGTCCACAAACTACCCCCAGAGGTCCACAGACAGAATTCATGTGGGGAGAAAAATCACGTTTTTATTCATTTTAACCTGTGACTAAAACGGGCATTTCTTTCGTTTTTGAATGCCAGCCACAAAGCCAGGTTTTCGGTCACAGTGGCATTAAGCAGTGCCTGTGGCCCTGCTCTCAGTAGAGGTCACGAGTAGTTTCCTACCACTGTGCAATGGCTGCAGCTATCTCCAGGTGTCATTTATGCTGATCACTACCTTGAAATTACGGTAATCGTTAAACCTGCCGCATCATCTTTCTAATTGCGTTAATAAAATAGCACGTATATTACTTTGTCACAAATTTGGTCTTGTTTTTTTAGCACTTTGATAACTAAATTTCGACGTAAATGGCTTCCTGGGTAATCTCCTGCATTTTGCTCTATGCATATCAGATTCTGAGAATGAGTCCATAAAACGATGCGGGGGCCACGTGGTAAAAAGGTTAGGAACCTCTAGAGAGACTGTGTTTTAGAGGGGTTCGTGGATGAATGTTCATGAAAGCAAACTGGAATAACTCACACGTCCGTCATCAACAGAATGGATAAATGAATAGCGGTAATACTACATGGTGGTAAATGGGAACAAACCAGAGCATCCATGTAACCACATGGATGAATCTCTAAACTAATAATGTAGCACCAAAGAGCACATCACAGACCAAAGGTACAATTGCACTTACAGCCTTTCAAAAGCAGGCATAATGGCCTCACATATTTAGGGATAGCTTTATGTGGCAGAATGGTCAAGAACAGAAGGGAGCCGAGTACACAGCCTTCAGGATAGTAGGGGTGAGGACCAGTAGTGAGAAGGAGGATGAACTTGGGAAGGGACACACAAGACTTCAGTGGTGTAGGTCATGTTCTGGGTGGTTACGTGTGTTTATTTTCCTTGGGTTTTATTGCTACTCTTTTAACACTGTATACATGGTGTGTATGTTACTCTTATAAGCGCTGTTTTTTTTTCACATCGCATACGCCATTGGTTGCCTGAATCTGTTACTTACAAAGTGACTGTGTCATGCCTCTTTCATTCGGTCGTTTGTTTTCCCCTAACTTGTTGGCATCCTTACAGGGCATAGACGAAGGTCCTGAGGGGCTGAAGCTCATCTCCGACATCATCCGGGAGAAGATGGGCATTGACGTCAGCGTGCTCATGGGAGCCAACATTGCCAGTGAGGTGGCTGCAGAGAAGTTCTGTGAGACCACCATCGGTGAGGTTGGCTGCAGGGCGGGGAGGGGCTGGGAGCCCAGACATTCGGTGTTTTAAAACATACATTTTCGATTTCCGTTATTTTTTGTAGCAGACTCTTCCTTGCCCCCATAACATTCCTGGAGTGAATATTCAGTGGGGTGGGGGTTTTATACAGGGAGGCCATTCTGGGGTACAAAAATGTTTCACCAGCCTCCAGAATGAAGGAAAGCCAGGAGACCGTTCTGACCTGCCATGATCCAAAAATGTAAAGTTGCTTACACAGACAAACAGGTGATTACATCCATGGTGGGGCTGTCCTGGCATTAGAAAACCCAGATTTTTTAAATTCACAAATGCCAGTATCTGGATCCTCATTGGATTCCAGTGCTCAGTTTGACAACCCATATACCAAAAATTGGAATGATAAAAATTGGTGGGGAGAATCCCTGTTTTCAGGTGAATAGTCCAAAGCTCAGTGAATAAGTTACCTGCCCCGTGGTCACACGGGGTAGAGAACCCAGGCACGAATTTGGCCGTCCTGTTTCCTAAAATAGAAAGCTCTTTCTACTCTTCTACAACATTGGGGTTGTGAAGATTTTCACTTCTTTTAAAAAGGGCTTTGGAATTCTCAGGTGCCCACGTACCACATTAAAGGACTTGTAGAAAAGTAACAGCGCCGGATTTGCAGATGCCTTGCGCAAGTTTAAGCTTATCTACCACTCCAGAACTTAATTCAACCCTTGTCAGACATACCAGCAATGTGAATGATTTCTCCGTGCAGCTTTGTAAAAGGAAGCTCTGAGAGAGATCAGGCATGGGAAAAGATAGCTCCAGATTCTTTTTTTTTTTAATATGAAATTTATTGTCAAATTGGTTTCCACACGACACCCAGTGCTCATCCCAACAGGTGCCCTCCTCAATGCCCATCACCCCCCCCACCTCCCACCCCCCATCAACCCTCAACTTATTCTCAGTTTTTAAGAGTCTCTTATGGTTTGGCTCTCTCCCTCTCTAACTTTTTTTTTTTTTTTTTTCCCTTTTCCTTCCCCTTCCCCGTGGTCTTCTGTTAAGTTTCTCAGGATCCACATAAGAGTGAAAACATATGGTATCTGTCTTTCTCTGTATGACTTACTTCACTTAGCATAACACTCTCCAGTTCCATCCACGTTGCTACAAAAGGCCAGATGTCATTCTTTCTCATCGCCACATAGTATTCCATTGTGTATATAAACCACAATTTCTTTATCTACTCATCAGTTGATGGACATTTAGGCTCTTTCCATCATTTGGCTATTTTTGAAAGTGCTGCTGTAAACACTGGGGTACAAGTGCCCCTATGCATCAGCACTCCTGTATCCCTTGGGTAAATTCCTAGCAGTGCTATTGCTGGGTCATAGGGTAGATCTATTTTTAATTTTTGGAGGAACCTCCACACTGTTTTCCAGAGTGGCTGCACCAATTTGCATTCCCACCAACAGTGCAAGAGGGTTCCCGTTTCTCCACATCCTCTCCAGCATCTATAGTCTCCTGTTTTGTTCGCTTTAGCCACTCTGACCGGCTTGGGGTGATATCTGAGTGTGGTTTTGATTTGTATTTCCCTGATGAGGAGCGATGTTGAGCATCTTTTCATGTGTCAGTTGGCCATCTGGATGTCTTCTTTAGAGAAGGGTCTATTCATGTCTTCTGCCCATTTCTTCACCGGATTATTTGTTTTTCAGGTGTGGAGTTTGGTGAGTTCTTTGTAGATTTTGGATACTAGCCCTTTGTCTGATATGTCATTTGCAAATATCTTTTCCCATTCCGTCGGTTGCCTTTTAGTTTTGTTGATTTGTTTCCTTTGCAGTGCAGAAGCTTTTTCTCTTCATAAGGTCCCAATAGTTCATTTTTGCTTTTAATTCCCTTGCCTTTGGAACCAGATTTTTATAGATGTCTGCAACTTAGGACATTGTTACTTCTTTTTCTTTTTCTTTTTAAGTGCATAGACATTGTGGAAAATAGGGATAATCAGACAAAGAACTCACAAAAAAGGATATGAAATATAATAACATATACCTAAAACAGGGAGGAGAGGAGAGAAGAATGGTTTCAAACTTAAATGACCATAAACTTAATATAGACTGCCGTATGCAGATGTTATATACAAACCTAATGGTAACCATATATCAAAACCACAAATAAATATGCAAAGAATAAAGAGAAAGAAATCCAAATATATTACTAAACAAAATTAGCAAAACATGAAAGGGAGAAAAACAAGAAAGGATCAGAGAAAATCTTCAGGAACAACCACAAAACAAGTAATAAAATGGCAATAAATACATATCTATCAGTAATTACTTTGAATGTAAATGGACTAAATGCTCCAGTCAAAAGACATAGGGTGTCAGAATGGATGAAAAAACAAGACCATATATGTTGCCTACATCGATATGCAGACCTAGAGACACCTGCAGACCAAAAGTACGGGGATGGAGAACCATCTATCATGCAAATGGATGTCAAAAGAAAGCTGAAATAGCAATCTTATACTGGACGAAATAGACTTTAGAACAAACACCCGTAGGAGCACCTTGGTGCCTCAGTTGGTTGAACTTCAGACTTCGGCTGAGGTCATGGTCTTGCAGTTTGTGAGTTTGAGCCCCGCATCAGACTCTGTGCTGACAGCTCAGAGCCTGGAGCCTGCTTCGGATTCTGTGTCTCCCTCTCTCTCTGCCCCTAACCCACTTGCATGTGTGCATATGCGCGCTCGCTCTCTCTCTCTCTCTCTCTCTCAAAAATAAACATTTAAAAAAACATTTAAACCAAACACTGTAAGGGGTACCTGGGTGGCTCAGTTAGTTGAGCATCTGACTTCAGCTCAGGTCATGATCTCACTACTTGGGAGTTCAAACCCTGCATCAGACTCACTGCTGTCAGTGCAGAGTCAGCTTTGGATCCTGTGTCCCCTTGTCTCTTTGCCCCTCCCCCACTTGCGTTGTCTCTCTCAAAAAATAAACATTAAAAAAAAAATCACTGTAGGGGCGCCTGGGTGGCTCAGTTGGTTAAGCATCCGACTTTGGCTCAGGTCATGATCTCGCCATTCAGAGTTTGAGCCCCGCGTCAGGCTCTCTGCTGACAGCTCAGAGCCCTGGAGCCTGCTTCAAATTTTGTGTCTCCCTCTCTCTCTGCCCCTCCACCACTCATGCTTTGTCTCTCTCTGTCTCTCAAAACTAAATAAACATTAAAAAACAAAAAAAAAAACCACACACACTGTAATAGGACACAAAGAAGGACACTATGTGTCATAAAGGGGACAGTCTAACAAGAAGATATAACAATTGTAAATATTTTTGTACCCAACATGGGAGTATCCATATATATAAAACAGCTAATAACAAACATGAAGCAACTAATTGATAATGATACAGTAATACTAGGGGGCTCTATCAGTCCACTTACATCAATGGACAGAGCATCTAAACAGAAAATCAGCAAGGAAACAAGACTTTAATGACACACTGAAACAGATCGATTTAACAGATGTATTCAGATCATTCCATCCTAAAAGAGCAAAATACACATTCTTTTCAAGTGCACATAGGATATTCTCCAGAATAGATCACATATTAGCCCACAAAACGGGCCTCAGCAAATACAAGAAGGTTGATACCATACCATGTACCTTTTCTGCCCACAACACTATGAAACTAGAAGTCAACCAGAAGAAAAAAATCTGGAAAGACCACAGATACGTGGAGGTTAAATAACATACTACTAAACAAGGAATGGGTTAACCAGGAAATCAGGAAATGAAAAAGTATGTGAAAACAAATGAAAATGAAAACACAAGGTCCAAAACCTCTGCAATGCAGCAAAAGCAGTTCTAAGAAGGAAGTTTATAGCAATATAGGTCTACCTCAGGAAGCAAGAAAAATCTCAGACAACCTAAACTTAGCCCTAAAGGAGCTAGAAGAACAATAAACAAAACCTAAAACCAGCAGAAGGAAGGAGATAATAAAGATTAGAGCAGAAATAAATTATATAGAAACTAAAAAAAAAATCAGTAGAACAGATCAATGAAACCAGGAGCTGGTTCTTTGAAAAAATCAATAAAATTTATAAACCTCTAGCCAGATTTATCAAGACAAAAAGAGAAAGAACACAAACAAAATCACAAATGAGAGGGGAGAAATAATAGTCAACACCACAGAAATATAAGCAATTAGAAGAGAATAGTATGAAAAACTATATGCCGACAAACTGGACAAACTGGAAGAAATGGGTCAATTCCTAGATGCTTATAAACTATCAAAACTGAAACAGAAATAAGTAGAAAACTTGAACAGACCAATAACCAGACAAGAAATTGAATCAGTAATCAAAAAACTCCTGTGGGGCACCTTGGGTGGCTAGTCAATTAAGCCTCCGACTCTTGATTTCTGCCCAGATCATGATCTCACAATCACAAGATAAGGCCCTGCGTTGGGCTCCACACTGACAGCATGGACCCTATTTGGGATTCCTTCCCTCACTCTGTCCCTACCCCCGTGCGTGCCCTCTCTCTCTCTCTAAATTAGTAAATAAACATTTAAAAACAAAACCCACCTCCCAACAAACAAAAGTCCAGAGCCAGTTGGCTTCAGGCGAATTCTACCAAATATTTAAAGAAGAGTTGATATCTGTTCTTCTTAAACTACTCAAAAAAAAATAGAAATGGAAGGAAAACTTCCAGATTTATTCTATGAGGCAAGCATTACCATGATACCAAAACCAGATAAAGACACCACTAAAAAAGATTACAGGGGTCCCTGGGTGGCTCAGTCGGTTAAGCATCTGACTTCAGCTCAGGTCATGATCTCGCAGTTCATGAGTTCGAGCCCTATGTCAGGCTCTGTGCTGACCACTCGGAGTCTGGAGCCTGCTTTTGATTCTGTGTGTGTGTGTGTGTGTGTGTGTGTGTGTGTGTGTGTGTGTGTGTGTCTCTCTCTCTCTCTCTGTTCCTCCCCTGCTTGCACTCACTCTTTCAAAAATAAATAACGA